CAGTCCATGGTACATTCAGTACTCTTCTCCAGCACCACAGCTCAAAGGCATCAATTCTCCTATCCTCCTTAGTCATTGTCCAACTCTCTGATGCCTAACAAGTGATTGCAAAGACCATGGCCTGTACCAGGTGCACCTCGACGGTACACAACAAAAAAAAGAGAGATCTCCTATGTGATTTATAGCCTCTGAAAATCAGGAGGGTCAGCTATGAGTCATTTCCAACTCACCAGCACATGACAAATGACAACAGCTGACTAGTAAATAGTGTCTTCCACATCTCGCCCACCTAATTTTTTTTCCATAACTTTCTGGTTATTTGGATCTATAGTGTTGAACACCCAACAAAGTGTGACCAAAACGCAATTCATATTGACTTGTGAATGTTTTTATGGTGAATTTAGTCTAGAGAAATTTATATATTTTCTCTACTATTCCTCTCATTCATATGTTCTTTTTTGCTAATTTACATTTTTAGTTACTCTTAAAGTCTAGGATATGCAAGGCTTTTATAGTTTCATACGCAGGCGTCTGTAAATATAGTATTCCTTTTTATTGTAGCTATATGTTCTTTGCCACTATATAAACATCAGTGAGGATCTCTTGTGATAGAACTACTTCTTGGTCTCTGCCTGTTGTTGTATATAATATAAAGATTTTCAGATTCTTAACCTTTCATAATCCATTTATTTTCTTTTTTATTTTCTCAACATTCTTAACATTCTTATCCATGATTTCATCTTGCAGTTTTGCTAAAAGTGCTATCTTTTTTTCTAAATTGACATGAATTGCAGAAGCCTGTCTTTGTCTTAAAATGTTCATCATGTAATGGTCAAATAGTGCCAAAGTTTCTATAATCAAACTGCAACCTACTTTGAAAGCTCCTTCAAATTTTCAAGTTTACGTCTAACTCTCAGTTTCCTTTTTTTACTCCAATTTATGACATTCTCTTTTTTCTGTTTCTTGCCTTCCAAGTAGTCTGCCTTCTTTTTTTTTTTTTTAACATGATGGTCTGTATTTCAAGCGAAAGAAAAACAATTTACTCCTACAAACTAACTTAACACTTATGCTGAAGTCAGTTTTATTCAGGTACCTTTTTATGCTTTATATTTCCTATCTCATTTATCTGGTTAGAATTCTTAAACATGTATCTGAAACTGTCATCTAAGTGTTTCTCTACCCACTCATTTTGTGAGTTTAATAAGTTCCATATATGTCTATCTTGCTATGTAATATGTTGAAGTAAGAAATGTGAACTCCGATACCTAAAATTATTTGTGCTATCTGTATGTGTATGTGTGTGTGTGTGTGTGTGTGTGTATATATATATATGTATTTATATATACACACACACACACACACACACATATACATAGAGAGTATCCGATTTTCTAGCTGTTTCATGTGGTAGAGTGCATTCAAATCTCTGGCCTTTTGGGGAATAGATGTTTTTCACACATTTCTCCAGGCAAATCTAAAGTGACCCCTGATGAGGCATGAGCAAACCTGAGTCAAATGATGCGATGGAGACAGCAGCAAAGCAGTATCTCCTATGAAAACAACTGTGACTTAGAAGAATGAACCAAAGAGCCAAGCAGAGGAAGCCAACTTCTTTTATGCTAAAGAGCCAAACATAAAACCTGGACACCTTCTAGGATTGTATTGCTGTAATCCAGAATATAACTCCACCCTCGAAAAACTGTGATGAAGAATTGGTGAATTAAAAGATTAACTTCAGAAGACTTTGTTCCTATCCATAGGTACCTACCTACCAGGCTGTAGGTGTTAATTGTTCTCAAACTCAACTGATTAGTTTCATGTAATGTTTAAAATAAGTTCTTGAGGTTAGAGTTAACCTAGCTGGACATACATCTCAACCCCTTTTTTCAATTCTTTTTTTTTTTTTTAGTTTTGAATGTTGTTCTAAATATGTTGGTAACATTAAATATGTAAAGTAAAAAAGTTCATGATTGGCATAGGAAGTAACATTTTAGGACTCTGAATTTTATAAAATTATTTGTATTACACTTTCATTTTGGGACTCAATAAAAGTCCTGAGTTGACTTTTTATTAAACCAAAATTCATGCAGGTTTGGTTTTTCTAGATCTTAAAGTGTTTTATTAGTAGCAGGCTCAGGAATCAAACCCAAGATGCCTTATTCCATAGTTCATATGCTTAATACTACTGCACTTAATTCTACTTTGCATTCTGTTTTAAGTTTTAAAGTCTATAGTGGCCTCTTTTGAAACAGGTAGTTGATAATGCTGATTCTCTAGGCATTATCTTGTTCTTATCTAGTCGTCCAACTGCATAATGTGGCTTCGTAAAACAGTGTATTTCTGGCATTTTTTCCCCCCACCCTACTCCCCAACTGACTTCAGGCCCTCCCAACTGACTTCAACTCTTCCTAACTCTATTTCTGGCATTTTTTTATACAGTGTTTGCAGATTCTGTATTATTTCTGCTGTTGGGTCAATTTTAACTTTTTTTACCAGGTTTCCACCTCTTGTTCACTAAAATCTTTCCATCATTGTCCAGTCTTAGACTTGAGTTGCTTTACATTATGAGGCAGTATTTATTCTGGTACCCTCATTTGCTTCTCCTATAAGCACTGTTTTTAAATGAAATAGGGTCTAGAGTTGATGGTTACAAAACCATCTGTGTATCAGATATGACTTTATTCTCTTTAGTACAGACTGTTCTGCTCTGCATGAACAGAAAATTCAAACAGACTTGAAAATGAAATCAAGCACCTTCCTGAATGAAATTTTATTGCAGTCTCCTTTTAAATCTTAAAAATAGGCTGCCGGCCTCCATTACTTTCAGGAAATGAAAAATGGCTCAGAAGCTAAGTGAGCTAAGCCATCTCTCTCTCAATTGTTTCAATTTCTCAGGAATTGCTGTACAGTGCTGCCAATAACGATCTCCGGGGATCTGACCCCCATTCCACCTCCCACTGCCTCCTCTGCAGCTCCAGATGCCACCAAAAGAAGGAGCTTTGAAGAAAGTGCCTGTACCCTCTCTTACCCTGAGGCGGGTGAGGCCAGGCAGGGTGATTCTCAGGATACCCTGATGATCAAAGGTATAGTTGAAGCCTTCATCAAGACTTTCTTGAAGATGTCCAAGAAATTTAGGAATCAGTGACAATAGCCTAGGAACTGAAGATGGAGCTCAAGAATACCACCTGAAATGGGTAATACATGATGAAATAGAAGACCCAAAATAAGCTCCTTGAGGGTAGAGACTATAATAATGCTTTGATATCTCTCCCCAACCTCCACGGTATATTACATCATGATGACATAACATTTTACTCAATAAGTATTTGTTTATGACTGATAGAAATTACAATAAAAAAATAGACTCAAAAGCCCTTCTTTCCCTAGTACTTAACCTAAGATTGTATACCCATTCTTCAGAATGGTGACTAAGATAATTCACTGATTTCTCAACATTCTTTTCTTCTTTCTTGGCTGTGTCTGGATAGGAAATATATCCGGTAATTTTTTTTTCCAGTGTTAATATTTAAAAGTTATGTCTTTGCTGATGCCAGGCTTTTTTACTTCTTGATAGTTTATTGTGGTAGTGGAAATCTTACTTATCTGAATGCATTTATTTATTGTTTGTTTATTATACTTTCAGTTTTAAAAATATCTTTTGTGTCTGTTTTTTGTGATTTAATGATAATCTTGTTTCTTGACTAGATCTTGCATTAGTTGTCATGGTTTCAGAAGTAGAATCTACTATAACATCAATTTCCCAAATTCCTAGCTTATTAATCTTGAATGAAAGCCCATAATTTTACATCTCACCTAAGCAGTACTACTTATTAAGCAAGACTACGAAGAGAATATTTACAGTGTTGTGATTTAAGGTACCTTAATTTTAACAAACCTCATGGTTTACTGTTTCACACAAAGGGAGATAATAGAAATCTATCTTCATTTCTTCAGTCTCCATGGTGGTGTTCCATGAGTTACTCATTTCTCATTTCTTCTCTAAAGTATTAAATCTCAATTAGAAACAGATCTTGTAAATCTCATTTTCAACTATTTGATTACTTATATCTTCCTATGGCTCTAGTTATGTTTAAGAGTTTGTATTTTTCCCCTCAATTTAAACATTTCTGTTACGCTGCTAGTTTTTTAACAACTATTTGGTAGATACTTATCATTTTTTTCTTAGCATATGGCTTTTTAGGTTATAAGAAAACCAGTATCAGAACCAAGTAAATTTTGTTCAGGAAGATAATCGTTCCTGAACTTTATTTTTACTGGGCAAGAGATGTGTTTTATTATAGTACACTGGGTTGGGTTTTAAGTATTAGATAATTTTTAAAGACATTTTAGTTTCTTTGTCTTTCTAAGAGCTTTTTTTAGTATAGCCATGAACCTTAACTATGCAGTTCTAATGGCATTCTTTCCCCCCACCCCAATCCATGTTTAATCTCTAGTACTGCCAGAAGATGCTTTGGAAGAAAAACCTATTGTGTTTGTCTCTGATATGAATGGGATGTATGACTCTAAAAATCCAACCTTTTGGATAGCATCTCTGATTCTGTTAAATGAATTTGCTTGTGTTAGACCTGCTTTTCATGCATCAGTTGTTTCTAATTGTAAATTTTATCTGTTTGTAATATAAATTTGAATCAATAATTAGCAACAAATTAAGAGTATTGTTAGTAATTTTTATCAATAAGTATTCTTTAAATGTGCTCCATAACTAAAACCTAAATCATGTATTTTGTTAATTCTACTACTAAAGCTAATTTTTCTTCAGTTAATGTAACAAAAGTTATATCTCATGGGACCTGTGGAATCCTATTTACAAAATCCAGTATAATTTTTCCCCTTTTGTCCTTATTGTGAGCTCAAATGTCATATTATTATATGGGGTGGCATTGGCAACAGCTAAAATAATACTTTTGACAGATAATGATATAACATTTAGTTTTATATTTTAATTTTCCTATGGTTTCTGTCTTGTCTTTTCTCTGCAGGATCCCAGCCAACCCCAGAGAAGCCTTCACAGCGACCATCAGAAAGCACAAATTGTAGCCCTACTCGAAAGAGATCTTCATCTGAGAGTACTTCTTCAACAGGTAAGTGGTATTTGCTTTACATTACAATCTAGCTGCTGTTTGTGCATGTGTACGTATAAAATTATATTAAAGCATAAGTGACTATGCTTTTTTCCATGATTATGGGATGTGAAAATCAGTACTGTGTTCATTGAAACAATATAATAGTCTTATACATGTTCAGTTAGGCATGTTCAGTAAGGTGTGGAGATTTTTATATCAGAGGGAATAATTCAGAATGAAGGAGAACAAGCAGAAATAAAACTGCAGGTTTAAAAAGTAGAATTAATCCAGAAGGCATGCGGTTTAAATCCACCAGATCCTCTGTTGGAGAAGGAGGGGCAGTTTCCTCCTATGTCAGTCAAATCCAATTCCACGGTACACAACAAGGAAGAGAAAAAAATGGAATTGAGGCTAAAAAGTAGGATGTTTAATAAGAGAATATAAATTGGAACGCTTTGAAAAAGGCTTAGATATAGGTAAGTTCTTTAGTGGTAGAATAGTTTCCAATATAGCATTCAAAGATTGCTAAGGAAATGGGGTTGGGGGGCAATCTTCATTAGATTATGAGAATTAAGATACTTTTTACTTCTGATTGATTTGGTTAAAAGTTTACAAAGCAATTTGGTTTTACAGTCTACTATTTACACACATTTTGTTTTGTGACACTGCATTTCTCACAGTGTAACAGCACTCTTTGAACATCTGTTTCCATTCACTCTTCCTTAACTATCCTTTCTAGCCTGCTGAGCTCCTCCTTGAGTAAATGCTGCCCCTTTGATGTCATATGGGTGATTGCTCTAAGGAATTTATACTTCACCAATTGTACTGTTCACTTTGTAGGCCTATCTGTTTAGACATGGGAGTGATGTCAGTTTCAGGCCTGGAAAATGACCAGGAGTCTTAGTCTTGAGATCCTATCAATAAGTCTGAACTTCTTTTTCTTTATAATTTTGTTCCACATTTATCTCCCACTATGTCGAGGTATTCTTCATATCTTTTCAGAGAAGTATTCAGTGGTGGTGATGGTTCTATACTGTTGAGTAGGATCTGACTCACAACTGACCTTCTAGTGGATTTTCAGAGATGGCTTATCTCTCTCCCGAGGTGGTCAGCTGATGGATTCACATGCCTTTGAGTTTGTAGTGTGATTCACTTACCATTAGCCACCAGAGTTCCCTAGTACCAAGGTATTAAGATTATTTTTAACTTCAGCATCTTAATTTCTAGATTTTGTACATTTTAAAATATATGTAACTTAATACTGTATATTTCACAGTAAGAATCAACAGGAATGTAATCACCACTCCCACTTCTTTCTCTTTACCAAAGTGTTTATTATTAACCTTAAGGCAAGCTTTATCAGACCGAGTCAGTTAAAGAGTTCCCACAATAAAAGTTTACTTTCGAGCTCTGGTGGCCTAGTGGCAAGAAGGTGTACTGCAATCCCAGAGGTGCACGGTTCAAATCCACTAGATGCTCTGCTGGAGAAGGAGGAACAGTCTCCTCCTGTACCAGTCAGATCTGATTTGATGGTACACACACAAAATAATAAAATAAAAATTTTAAAAGTTCACTTTCTTCAGAATGGGAAATAGGAAGCTGCCATGCAAATTTGGAAAATTCACATAGTTAACTTCTGACTTGCCACCATTACAAAGCTGGTCTCTCACTACCCCTTAGGATGCCAACCTCCAGACCAAGAGTGCACACAGCACCCTACTCCTGAAATTGCTCCTTTGGGTTTCATAATTTGCTGAAATGACTCATAGTTCTTAGAAAGTATACTGTACTTACCACAGCAGATTTATTATAGGCAAAAATATATAGAAACAAAGAAATGTCTAGGATCTAGGAGAATTCCCAATATGGAGCTTCCGTGTCCCAAGGAATTCACTACCCTCTTGAAAGCAGATGTTCTTGTCAGCTGCTCACTAAAAAGATCAGTTTAAACCCACCAAGTGCCTGATGCATGCTTGATTCCTGGTAGCATAAGCCTGTTGCTATTGAATTGGTTTCAGTTCATGCAAACATATAGGATAGAATTAACCTTCCCCATAGATTTTCCAAGACTGTATCTATTTGTCACATCTTCTCCTGCTGAGTGACTGTCAAACTCCTGGCCTTTCTGTGAGCAGCTAAGCTCTTAACTACCATCCCACTGGGGCTCCTCTAATAGCTTAGAGCCTAGTTAAATGGACCAGCCAGGGTCTTGAACAAGTTTCATCATGATTGCCAAAACAAAAGCAGAATAATCATAATTTGGATGATCAGGAATACTAATCGGAATAGGGAAAATTACAGATCAAATCCATAGATGACTTAGTGAGGCATAATCAGATTTGATGCAGGACATTAAATTATTGCAACAACTAAAGACTGGTGCACATTCACAATACTGAGATTGGCCTCCATATTTGAGCCAAACACAAGTGTTTTCACCTCAGCTGAGAGATTGCTCTTGTTTTCCTCAGAGGAAAATTACATATGTAACCGGGCATCAACCCATGATTTTTCCTTTTTGGCTATTGTTCTACATTAAAATTTTTCATTTTGTTCCTGTGGTTTTTGTCGGCCATTACTGAACTGGGTGAACCTGTTCATAGCCCTGTGCAAGGCAGAGTGGACCTTGGAGGCAAGGATGGCAAAGCTTCATCTCTTATACTTTGGACATGTTGCTAGGAAACGTTACTCTTTGGAAAGGTCAAAAAAGGAGAAGGGAAGACCCTCAGCAAGGTGGATTGATAGTGACTGCATAAATGAGCTCAAATATATCAGTGATAATGAGAATGGCACAGG